GATACACAACATTGTCCTATTGTATAGCACAGGGAACTATGTTCAATATCTTGTCATAACCTATAATGAAAAACAATATATATGTGTATGTATAACTGAATCACCATGCTGTACACCAGAAACAAACACAATATTGTAAATGAATTACACTTCAATCAAAAAAAGAGTATTCTAAATCCTCTCTCACATCCCTCAGAACGTTTCTGCCATTCATTTCACTTAGCCATAATCCATAATCACACAATATATTGTTGCTGTTATTATTTTGAACAAACTGTTATCTGTTGGATAAATTTAGAATAAGAAAACAGGATTTTGTTAACCTCCCTTTATTTTTTCTCTAATGCTCTTCCGTTATGTGCATCCAAGTTTCTGACTTACATACCATTTTTCTTCTCTCTGGATAACTTCTTTTAACATTTTTTGCAAGGCAGGTCTACTGGTGACAAATACTTTTGGGTTTTGTTTTTCTGGGAAGATCTTATTTCTCCTTTACTTTTCAAGGGGAATTTTGTTGGATACAGAATTCTAGGTAGGTGTGTTTATTCTCAGGTTGTCTATTTCTCCATTAGAGACCTTGACAAATCAATCATAGTTATTTCAAATTCCTGGTCTGATAACTCCAAAGTCTCTGCCATATCTGAATCTCATTCTGATGTTTCCTTTTTTTTCTTCATATTGTGTTTTTCATATGCTAGCACGCCTTGCAATTTTATGTTGGAAGCTAGACATCTAGACATGATGTATTGGGTAATGAGAACTGAGATATAAAGGCCTTTAGTGTGAAGACTTATGTTTATTTCACTAGGAATGATGCTGTGTTTACTGTCTTCTGTAGCTGTAGATGTCTAAGGCTTCTCCTCTCTTGTCTCAGGATTGCCTAGAAGTCCCTCATTAAATAGAGTCTGAAACCTTTAACGTTTCAACTACAAATCCCTGTTATACACAGTAGTATCATTGATGTGGTGATAGGTATGGTGAGGAGGTAAGTATGCGTGACTCTTATCATCAGTCTCAACTGTTAAGGAAGCCTGAACTTTGCCCCAAAGTGTAGCTTTCAAAGTGCTTCTCAACGTCGTCCCCACTTAGGCGAGGCAGCAATGGTGGGGAGGACTGGGGTTCTCCTTTCCTCACTTTGACAAGATTGTTATAATTTCCCTTGCGGAAAGGGAGAGAACAGAATGCTGTGAGCTTATTTCAAAATAATGACATTGTCCTTCTATCAGAAGCCCGTGGAGATTATTCTCTGGTCTTCACAGTGAGAACTTGGGTTGGGTTCCTGGTGGTAAAACTCACAAAGGTGTGGCAGCCTCCATGAGACTGAGCAAACTCCCCACGCCCCATCTAGAGCTTTTAACTTTCAAGCTAGTCTACAACGAGTTTCAAGGAATTCACCAAAATTTTTAAATTTTTTTAAGTATTCTTACTAATACTGGCTTTAGCAAGAGCTTCTAATCAAGAACTTCCACATAATAGTCTCTGATTCTATATAGGCACCTGTCTGTCTCTCTACTTTTTGAGGCAGTATTTTGCCTCGTGTCCTCGATACCATAACGGATCTGTTTGATTTTCAAATGTGTTGACTTACAGTGAGAATGGGAGAGCTGACTTCCAAGTTTTTACCCTACTGCGGAAACTGGAAGTCTTGACAAGCAACATTTAAAATAGATTTATTCACCAACGAAAAATCTTAAATTAGAGGTTATTGGCTTCCATCATCAAGAAGGGGAAATGTAATTCATTTTCCTATCTGCAAAAATGTAAGTTTGTTCTTCTTTTAGTGATGAAATAAAAACCTTTGTAGCATGCTTTAATATTTGAAATAAAACAATTTACCATAATTTAGCATATTTACAATATACAAATTAATTCTAATCTAATAGATTAGAATTAGTATATATGTATGTATTTTAAAGCAGAATGGTTACAACTTTTATGGCTCATACTGGCAAAAAGAGGGGTTTCCATTCATGTTATCACCATTACTACTCCTAGACCAGCTTGTACCTCTGTGCCTTCTATGGCGAGGAGACTGCTCAGTGACAGTTGAAGTATTTCCCGTTTCTGCTCTCCTTCCACATGGACAGTCTCGAAGCAGTCAGAATCTGGCTTGACAGTCTGGGTGGCCACTCCGCAGGAAGCTGGAAAAAATTCTCAAGCCCACTGACGTCCCAGCCCTGCATCGTCAGGTGTTCCTGCCCTCCGTCACCAGGATCCAGGACTCTGGTCTCACGCCCCCTTAACCACAAGCCTCCCCGCCCCAGGTGTCTCTAACAGTTCCTGCTGGAGACCCTCAAGGGCCTCTGTTACTTCGGCTGGAATGACAGAAGCAGTCTCAGAATGATAAACTTGCCATCTGGATTTTAATTCCAGGTGTCAGATTTCCCAGCATCAGGGGACGACAGCCCTACCCCACTGGACACTCCCTCTCCCACTTTCTGCCAAAACGACCCAGCCCCAGACCTGCATTCAGAGATCATATCCTTCCCCGGCAATACTTTTTCTAACAAGATCTCTCTGCTATCCATCCTTCCCTGCTGGGGCCTGGCTGCAAAGGCAGAGGCGTGCTTCCTCAGCGCCTTGCCATTTAATTCACAAACAGAAAATCCAAAGGTTCGATGGGACTATGAAGCGCTGCTCAGCCTCACCAGGAGTCAGATACGTGCAAATTAAAACCACACTGAGCCATGGCCTTAGACACATGAGACTGGCAGACATCTGAAGGTTGCTAACCAGAAGTATCAACCAGGATGTCAGGACAGCAGGTAATTTTCCACACAGGAGGACAACACTGCTCTGTGAAATTAAGTATACGTGTGCCCCGTCCCCCAGCACAGTCCACTCCTGATGCATATCCAAGCAAAGCTCTCCTGCCCACCTACAAGGATGCCGGTAGGAAAGTGCTCATCACGGTGGTGCTTGTAGTAACCGGGAGCTGCAAGCAGCCTGGGTCCTTTACCAGTGGTACTGCCTTCAGTGGCTTGCTCGGGAGATGATTTAAGGAAGCACCACTATGGAAATGGGAGAGTGAGGCAGGGGCTCTTGGAGAGTCAGGGAAGGATGCGTGATTGGCAGGTCCCTCTGGGGACAATGGAAGCTTCCTGTCACTGGAGGACACAGGGAGACACTGCTGCCCATGACGCCAGAGTAGTCCCTCCTGAGTAAGCGAAACACTGGGTACGGATGTTCCCGCTCCTCTCTTGCCAGGCTGAGGGCTGTTCCAGGGCCATTAGCTGCCGGCCCGTCTGGCCTGCCCAAGCCCAGGCCAAGAGACAGCATTTAGTGGAGACTCTCAAGTCCATACAGTGAGACACCGGGGGCACGGACTACAACTGTTAGTGCCAAAGGGGGAGCACAAGGCAACACTTGTGTCACGTAGGCACTTTTGGAAATAAACTGTAGAGGGAAGTGCATTAGAAACAGCCAGAGTGACTGACCAATATCATCAAAATAAAAGCATGAGCAGAAAGCAAACCAGTTTATATATGTCACACTCATCCATGGACATGACTTGGACACATCACACAGGGCCTCTAGGTGGCGTGAGTGGCGAACGGGACTGCAGGTCGGGGAGGAAAGGAAGAGAAACAGAAGCCGAGGGGCCTCGTGGAAATTCAGAAAGACGGTCATAACCTGGGGGAGCGACTTAAGACACCCACATCCCTCTGCTCCTCTAGGTCAATGCACCTGGTCTCCCTGGATCCCCTCAAAACCCTCACCTCTGGGGTCACACACAGGACATCTGACTTGATGTCCCCTGAGAGCAGGAGCTGTGTGGAATGCAAGGTCCCGCCCACCACAGCCTGGGGCCAGGGCCCCCCAGGGAATTACTCTCCACTCCTTCAGTCGAGTCCCTCTGAACGAGACGCGCACGGGCCAGCCCAAGTCCCCGCAACTACAGCTCCCAGAGCTCCCTGGGGATGCTAGCGAGACTCTGGGGGTGGAGCCGTTCGCAGAGCCCACGAGGGCTGTTCCCGGGTTGGGCCCGGAAGTGGCAGCAGGGCCGTCAGCCTGGTTCCTGGTTGAGGTCCCAGTGCAGCTTGGTGAGTGACTTGTTTATGCTTTGAAATGGATTTTTTTTTCCTATTGCAAGTGTGAGTCCCGGAGACTAGGCTTGAATTTCACGTGAGCCAGTTCAGGAAGTTGGCTGACACACACAGCGTGGATCCTTCTGCTGTAAGTCCCGTACAGGGTGATGGGGGCGGGGGAACAGACCCTGATTCAGACTCTCTGGGGTAGAGTCGCAGCCACACGATGACCCAGCTGTGAGGACGCGGGAAGGTCACTTAGCAGCTCTGACAGTCAGTTTACCCCTCAGCAAACTAGAGCTAAGAAGAGAGTTTACTTAAAAGGTGGTTGTGAAGATTAAAGTGTAGAAAAGAGAGCTAATGTGTAGAATGTGTGTTTCAGGGGCTGGATTTCCCTCTTGGATCATTGAAACAGTGATGTCCACCTTCTCTGTCCCCAGCTGTGTCCCACAGGGCACCGTTAGTCCCGCAGGCAGCAAGTTCATGACCATTCTTGCTCCTCCTGCATTAGCTGATCAGAAATTCTCTAATGACCCCAAACACCCTGTGAGGCTGGGTTGTGCTGCCTGAGAAGCTGTCAGGGAATTCTCAGGGGGAGTTTCATGACGATGATAGGAGGACCCTTGGGGAGGGTCTCCCGGAGACTTAATGACAGGGATCAGCTCTTTCCCTGTCAGGCAGACCGAGGACGCCGGCCCTGAGCACAGACGTGTCGAATTCCACAGGAGAGAGGAGACGGAGGGGGCAGACAGCCCCAAGAGCGGGGAGCCCTGTGGGCTCTGCACTCTGAGCCTCGCTCCCCTGCTCTGGAGCGGGCCACGTAACAGCAACAAGCCTGCTGGCTCTTCTTTGGTAAACTGAGCTTTGCCCGCCCCAGGGCCACATGTTAGTTTCTCTTCCACGAACCAGCTGACCCCACCTCCTCTCACTGACCAGGAAGTCGTGAACTCAGCTGTGTGTGTCGCTGCATCCCACCCAGTGACTCACTTCTGTTTGCTCTTCATCGGTTTAAAAAGTTCACAGCCAACTTTAAAAACAGGAGGATTTTCAGGTACAAATCTGAATTTCTGTTTCTGCTCAGGAGGGTAAAAAAGTAAATAAATAGAAAGAAAGAAAAGAAAAGAAACCAAAACCATTCAGAACTTCCTGCTGCCTGGGGCTCACTGGCTGCAACAGCTGTTTCTCATCCAGAAGATCACTGGGCTGGCCGCTTGCCTCTGGTGAGTGTGGGGGGCTTGTCGCGTCCCTGCAGTGAGCCTGGGCACCAGAAGAAATAAGGGACGGGGGTGGGGGACGGCATAGCTCAATTGGTAGAGTGCCTGCTTAGCATACACGAGGTCCTGGGTTCAATGCCCCAGTACCTCCATTTAAAAAAAAAGTAAATTAAGCTAATTACCACCCCCCAGCCCCCCCCAAAGAAAAACAGATATCAGAAGGGAAAGGAAGAGAAAACCACGGCACACAGGAAGAAAAGCCACTGAGAAGCACCTCTTAAAATTCTGCTATTCAACTGGGCAATTCCATTCCTAGGCATACCCCCAGGGAACTGAAACAGGCAGTAAACAGCACTGGGACACGGATGTCCTCAGCAGCACTGCACACAATAGCTGAAGTGGAACCAATTCATAGAGTCAGGAAGTAGACTGGGGGCTGACGGGGGCTGGAGGAAATGGGGTGTGACAGGTACGGGATCTTATTTTGGGGCGAGTAGGGAGGTATTTTAGAACTAGGTAGCAGCGGTCGTCGCACGAAGTTCTAAATGTACTACAGGACACGAGTTGTTCACTTTCCTTCCGTGCTTTGTTTGAATCCACACCCTTAAGTAAGTCTTGTGGCCAAATGATCAACATCACTATGTTATTTACATTCTTTAAGCTTCAGGCTTCAGAAACTCAAGCTATCAGTCTCTGAATGGATGAATTAGTGGTTTGAATTGGAAAGATACATGGAGGAGTAGGGAAATGGAATCTCACAGAATTCTAGCAAGAAAAGCCATTTGCAGAAGTGAGCTACTTTCAGTGGGAGTGGGAGGTGATCCAAAGGGGGGACCATCAGAATTGTTCTTTTTTTAAAAAAAAAAATTTTTATTGAGTTATAGTCATTTTACAATGTTGTGTCAAATTCCAGTGTAGAGCACAATTTTTCAGTTATTCATGAACATACATATATTCATTGTCGCATTCTTTTTCGCTGTGAGCTACCACAAGATCTTGTATATATTTCCCTGTGCTGTACGGTATAATCTTGTTTATCTATTCTGCATATGCCTGTCAGTATCTACAAATTTTGAAACCTTGAATTCCTTCAACTGGCTTCCTCTGTCTCTGTATCTTATCTTTACCTCACAGTGTCTGCTTTTTGCTGAATGTTGCCCTAAATTTAGCCCTTTATGACCTCTGCATTCCTGCGCTGTAACTTTTCAATTCTGCTTCTGCTCTGCTGTCTCATCTTCTGAATATTTCTGAATTTAAATTCTTCAGAAATGGAACCTCCGTAGCTAGCTCATCCTTCGCTTACGAGACCACACCTGAGGTCCCTGCTGGCCTGTGGATTCGCTGGGACCTCTCAGTACCTCTCACCCATCAGGCAAAGACTGAAGAGATGTGGGAACAAACGGTATAAAATGTGGATGCCTAATGGCTGCCCCTTCTGGAAAGATAGGAGTCAGCCGCTCAGGAAGAGTCACAGGCATGGCAAGCTGGATTACAGACATTCACTGAATAATCAAATGAAGAACCTGCTAGTATCAAGTGTTCTGCTGGATGCTGAGCACAGTGTGTATGACACCTAAAAAGTACTGCGCAGTTTTCCAACACTCATAGAAAAGACATAGAAAGCGATTCATCATGTAAATGTTGATGAAAAAAAATCAGATTACAATTAGGATTATCCTGGTTCTAAAAATAAAATGTTTGTATGCATAAGAAAATATTCTTACAAGCGATAGAACGTGTGAATATGCTGAACTGTGGTTTTCTCTGGGTGGCAGGTTTTGGAGTCATTTAATTTTATTTTAATATTTTATTTATTCATCAGCATGTTATTTAATTATTTTATTTTGGCAGGGGGTGGGGCTGGGGAGGTAATCAGGTTTAATTTATTTTTAGAGGAGGCACTGGGGATTGAACCCAGGACCTCACGCATGCCAAGCATACTCTCTACCACTT